TCTAAGATTTCTAATACAAGAATTCCTTCAACTAATTTTAGATTTCTTGAATATAATGTATATAATGTACTGTATGTGCTCCTTTGGTAAATCAGAATAATTTATGTAGTACAGCAACCAATAGATGAATATTTTAACGATACAGTGGATAAGCGCGATCTGCATAAAAATAATTATATTATATTCAGGATAATTGTAATAAAACAATTGAATATACTAACCAATTATAATAACTAGTAATAATGCAACTACGCTTGTGTAGTTGATAGTTTCAATGATCCATTTCTCCATGCTAAGCATCCAATACCTCTAACTCGACCATAAATTGAAAGTATTTCTAATCACGATAAATTGTACGTCCTTAGAACATTCTTTAATGGCAACGATTGATACTTTGTGAAAATCCAAGGCCGCATCAATCTCATCCATAATATATAAGGGTTAGGTTTGAATTGGTGTATAGCAAATACCAAAGCTAAAGAACTAAGTGTTTTTATTTTGACAAAATAAATATTCATTTATGTCAAGTATAATTAAAATGAACGCTGGAAAACATACGAATACCTTTCTCCACCAAAAAATTTTCCAACTCTTTCGGAAGCATAACACTAAAAATAATGCCTTCAGAAAAAGGATCCAAGCTGTCGCAACATTAAAGCTCGGTATGTCCTCCAAGAGTAATCATCTAAAAACAAAACTTGTTATATTTTATGTAACATGTTGAGATAAAAAAGTGCCATTTTAGATACCTGATACATTTCCAAGATATTAAAGTGAACCCATGCATGAATTCTTCCAATCGTTAACAATCGTTTTCCTTTTTACACTCATCACGTTTAGAAATAATCTCTTCAAGCTCTAACACGTAACAAATACTCTTTCTCACGAATACGATAATCTTCCAAAACACTTAGATTTGGATTGGAATTTTGTATTTTCTCTGTAAAAAATTTTTTTAAATAAAAAAAAAAAATTATATATAAAGAATAAGTAGAACATAAAAAAAGAATACCTTTAAGTTCATCGATCTCCTTGTAACGTACTTTGTCCATTGCATCGAGCTCATCGTCAGTGTAATTTGAAATTCTTGCTCCTCATCACCTCTACTTATAAGGTCAATTAGATAAATGGTAGAATAAATATTTTAAAAACACCATCAGCATGCTTACCCAAATTTTCTAAGAGAATTTCGCCGATGAATTTTTTTCTGTTTAGTTTCTACCAAATTGCGCTTACTATCTTCGAGCTGGGTTTTGAGTTTTAATTAATACAATACATAGTGGGATTGGTTATGGAAAAAAGATTTGACGTAACGTTGAGAGAATAATATACATAAATATCAACCTCAATTGCTCGAATCCGATTAATTATTCATCAAGTTTTCCTAACTCTTCCTTTTTACTTTCCAATATCTAAAAAATTAGGAAAAATGTAAATAAATATTATATATTTTTTAAAAAAAAAACAGATATGATTAAACATTAATATGAATAAATACTGATTTGGCTTCATCGAATGGAACGAGAAACTTTGAACTTCTTTTGTAAGCTTTTCTATTTCACTATTTAATTCTTCTAAATCTCTTTCACTTTTTGCTCGAAAATTTTCGATTTAATCCTATCCTTTTCCGCCCTTGATTTGGCCACTTGAGACTTGATAATTCGCTCATTTATTAAAACAAGTTGATATTTAACATGATCTATTTTAGACTTTTGAGCTCGAAGTTTATCACCCCAAATTCCAAAATCTTATCTTAATCTCCTCTTTAATTTAGAAGGTCGTCTTTTCAATTGATCTAACTCTTTTGTTAGATCAATTTGTATTCGAAGTTGTCCCATACGCCTGATATCATCTACATATGGATTATTTTTTTGCCATATAGGAAAAAAAAAGATTACTTATTAACCCTTAACAAGAATTTATTAATAAAATACAGTTAAATACTTACCGTAACTCGGCTACTCTTTTTTCAGTATATATAATATGTTTTGCGCAAGCATTCACATCCATCTCTAACTTCAATAGTTCAAATTCTAATTTGGGATAAACCTGTCATCTTTCGGCTTAATAAGATCAAAAAGGCGGTAAACATTTTCAGGTGTTTGTATAGGGCGCACGTCCATGGTAGGCAGTTCATTCAAAAGTATGAACTTGGCGCAACCTAAATCTTTTTTTTAAGGTATTCTATACAAGTTTGTCCAACTTCAATAGAATCAACTACGATGTTGTTCAATGCTGGACAGGCAATTGAAATCGCAACATCGTATTTATCATCAATGACACCAAAGGTTACCCAACCGATCCTAATTAAAAAAATTAAAATAAGATTTCAGCAAAAATTTATAAAACGCTCCGATCCGACGAACTTACATACAATCCTTTTATACGACCACTATCTTTGAGCTTTATCAAGCTGCTAAGAACTTGTCCTCTAGACTAAGAATTTAAAAGTCTTTTCGCCTCAGCTTCTCTTTGTCGAGAATCGGCAAGACTAGACTTGAAATGTTCTTGCTGACCATGATAATGCTAAAAGTAATAAAAGATATTTATGAGAACCTTAAATACTTAATATATTAATTTAAATGCTAAATAATAACCTTTAAACCAGTGTCCAATTGTTTAATACTATTTGATTTGATTCTTTTTAGATGAGATTTCTTGTTTCTAAAGAAGCAATTCAATTATAATTAAATCATCACAAAAAAAGCAATTAATGCCTTATAATAATACCTTTTTCCGACATGATTCTCTAAGCGTGACAGCATCTTCGTCTGCTTGTTTTTGTTTTATTGGATCAACTTTCTCTTTTAAAATGTTATATTCAGATTGGTTGACATCAATAAGTGATTGCGTTGCATTGATTTTCTCTAACAAAGGTGCAAGTTCTTTTTGCTTTCTTCAATTTAGTTGAATAAACTTCTGACTTGCCTTTATATAAATTAAATTCGGTTACAATATAAAAAAAGGTATTTACACAAAATAATCAATTCACATACCCTTTAATCTTACCCCGATTTTTTTAAAGATATTTCCAAGCCCACCATTTTTTCCATTCGATCATTAAAATCCTGTTCATTAAATTGTAATGCTGTTTTCGCTTCCGAAATTCCATGACGATCCTATAATTAACAGAATCTTTGTATTTATCTTCAAGATCCTTGTTATCTTGTTTTATCTGAACATGCTTTTCTTTTGATCTTTTAATTTATTCTAAGAATTAATAAATAAATTAATTGTCATATTAAATTAACTTGTCTGAATAAATTATAAAATCTAATGACTTATCACAGCCTTATTTAATATTTCAGTATTAAACTTACACTCTAGCTAATTTTTTGATAAAGGGCGACTGCTTCAAAGCTAACGTGTTTTCATCTCGGAGAAAATCTTCTGCTTTTTTTTTCTTAGCCTTTCAATTCAATAAGGTTCGAATCATTATTGTTATTTAATATGATTACAAACGCCATTTACTACCTCAAACTTTGTTAACTATTTTAACGCGATTTAATTTTTCTGATCGTTTTCAATGGTTCAACCTTTTCCATTTGCTTCTTCAGGAGAACTTATATTAAAAGTTCGATAATGTCTTCTATATATTCTTGTGTCCATATTCATGCTCATTTGGTGCTTTGGGTTTCATCTGCGATATTAATTCAACTTCTCCCTAAACATTAATTTAAGCATAAATTTGACGATGTCAATACATTAATCATTACCTCGTGATGAAAACATAAAATAAAAAAATAAATAAACAAAGAACCTGCAAAATTAGAAATCGTTTATGATCCAAATCGATCCCCCTTTCTTTAAAAGACTTATAACTTCGGTAATTGCTTTGTCGCCCGTTTATGAAATGCTTGCATTATTGCGAAAAGCTTGACGCGAGATAACCAATTGGGATTGTGATAGAATCTCATAATTATCCGAACTAGGCTATAAAATTATTAAACATCATTTATTATTAATTTTAAGTGATGTTTTTTCTTTTTCTTTTTCTTTTCTTTCTTTTTTTTTTTTTGGAAATTAAAACTTTATTAGTACCAAGTCAAGAATTTTTCTTCAACACTGCAAGCAACCATCAACGTGATGAATGAATAAGTTCTGATAAATTGGCTTGGCTCATTTTATTTGCTCGATAACAAATACAAAATAAAAGTGCATCGATAACATTTGATTTTCGCGTAAGTTCACTTGTACGCGATTTCTGAATTCTGAATTAGGAGATTGAATTGTCATTGGCTTAGAAATTTGTTTAACGATACAAATGTTGCACAATCTTTTTTTTTTATGAAAACGAGGCCGTTTTGGACGATTTCTTGAAAGAATTGTTGGAAATTCTACCAAAAGGTAATTATGAATTTGAAAGCAATAATAGCTTTTAAACATTAATAATATATATTTTTCATTTTTATAATATTATAATAGATATTTGCAACTTATCAAATATAACTCTTATAAATACCCAAGATATTAATACATTCGATGATACTATTACTAAAGATATTATGTTTAACAATAAATCAACAAAAAATAATAAACCTGAAATTTATAGTAATAGGACACAAAATGTCAATTGAGCAAGTACAAGATCAACTTTTTATGGCACAAAGTACTGCTCGAATTCGCATCGAACAACGACAAATGGCTATGGACAGTAAGTTAAAAATAATTTTTTTTTTCAACTTTATTTATATATTATCGAAATTAATACACATTTTATCTCCAAATATTCAGCATCATCTATTCACAAATTAATGTCTTGATTCTTCAATTCATATTGTTGTGACAGCCTTGACTATAAATAAAAGTTCCAATAAAATATATCGTAAAGAAGGAACAAAATGATCTTGTTTTGATTGTTAAACTACTGTTCGGCTACCATTATTATAAGCATCCATATTAATAATATAATAATTTCAAGCAATATTTTAAAACCCACCAAATATTTTTTTAATCTTCCAATTTTCTTCTCTTATTAAGTTGTGAACGAGTAGAACAAAATGGTTTTTGATCATAGCCCACCATATCAATATGTAAGTTACTGAGCTTTATTTTGCCCTTCTCGTTTTCCTTACGCATCCGCAAAATCGAAACTCATGTTGACTCAACCTCTTGTTGTAGGTCAAACTAATAAGCTAAAATTACTTCTCGTGTAACTCGAGTTGATATAGATTGGCTGATGAAATTGTGTAACCCGTTCAGTAATCCGATTTTTGCGTTCTACAAAATAGTGGAATTCTTTTGATCGCATTTTTATCTCTTATAGCCACACACTATTAAATTTTTAAACACGTAAAATACGCGTTTTAAAATATGAATCAACTACAAGTTATTGAAAAGACTTCAACTAAATGTGTTAATTTCCTCTTATAAACCCGTTTCTAAAAAGAAAACTAGTAATACTACGCGTTTATCTACGCGTTTAATTTTACCCAAACCAGTTCAGCATGCTGTTCCTTTGCAACACAAGCAACAGCAAATTGTTTCTCCACTTCCTCCACTTCAACAGCAACAGCAAGTTGTTTCTCCACTTCCTCCACTTCAACAGCAACAGCAAGTTGTTGCTCCACTTCAGCAGCAACAGCAAATTGTTGCTCCACTTCCTCCACTTCAGCAGCAACAGCAAATTGTTTCTCCCCTTCCTCCACTTCAACAGCAACAGCAAGTTGTTGCTCCACTTCAGCAGCAACAGCAAATCGTTTCTTTACCTCAGCAGCGGTTGCAAAAAGTTCAACAAAAAATTGAACCGGTATTATATGAAAATTATAATGAAATTACTTTGGTAGTTCATATTTTCAGTAATTTAATCATAAAATATTATTATAATTTTATTTTTTCTTAGCCAAGAGAGGATGAGATTTTATATAATTAGGGTGAGAATCTTCTACCTGAAAGGAATATTACTAAACGACTTAGAGATGATAGTAACCAAGATCAAGATCATGATGAAAGGTCCGGAAGTTGGAAAGATAGTGAAATTAAAATCTTACTTGATTATCTTCAAGAAAATTTCTCATCTTGGTCCAAAGGAAATAAAACTAAATTTTATAATGATGTAGCAAGACATATTTTACTAAATGCAATAAAAAGTAAATTTTTGTTTCTTTAATTCTTTAATTTTTTTTTTTAAATTATTAACTTTTTAATTATTTATTTAAAGATTAGCCTAGATGTGTCACCTAAATCCAAAAAAAGTTGATAACTCAAAATTTTACTCGTTTTTTTTTTGTTATAAAAATACGCGTTTAAATATTTAACTGTTTCAAACCATTATCCGCTTACATATCTCATAATTTTATTATTATTATTATATTTTTTTTTTAAAAAAAAAAGGAATTCAAAACAATCGAACATCTATTGATTACCTATTTAAAGTAAAATTTTGAAAAAATGTGGTATCATTTTGATCGCTTTTTTTAAACACGTCTGGTGTCTAGTAAAATTTTTAATAAACTTTAAAAAATTTAAGGAACATGCAAGCTAATGAGAAAATTTCGACTAAACGTGTTAGCTCTTCCAGTTTCATAGTTCTGGACCTCAAAAGAGGAAAAAAAATATTACGCGTTCAACTCCGCGTTTAATTTTGGATTGTATTTAATTTTTCTTATCATCTTAGTCTTTACCTTATTCTCGATGCTGAATCCAATTCTTTGTCATCGACCAATGTCATCAGCCGCTTAAAAAGCTTCATTAGTATCATAAATGTACTGACCACGAAATTCAAATTACATGTTCAGATATTGTCATTACCGGAGATTGGCTACCTGGATGGATGAAAATGAAGACACAATAATTCATTTATCACCTGATAGAACAATTTTTTTTTTCATTTGTCTTGAAATTTATTGATTTAATAATGATTGTGTCAATTGCTATCTATTAGTACTAGCATTCCAATACTTCACTTCGAAATGCTTTCTGATATTTAAACAAGTGTGACTTTAACATCTGCACCCAATATCAAAATTATGGAACAACAGATACCGAGATCTGTCTCTTATTTTGTTTTGTTATCACTTCCTTCTGTCCTCATATTCTTACCATGTTATAGTTACTGAAAAAGGATGCAGATTTTTGTTTATAAGCGAAAGATTCTTTATGTGGCATAGATAAAAATTGGGATTGGCTGAGACTTAAGATTAGAGAAGTAAATTTCATGATGCTGAACAAAATTAGATATAAATCAAGCAATATAGGAAATAGATCAAGTTTAGACATTAACGTTTTGGGTAAATGTTATAAAGAAGGATTGGTTTGACAATAAGATCCATGGCACTGGGCAAATTAAGTTTAGGAATTGGAACTTTGTGACCTAGGTGCGTTTTGTCATACACTATATTTTGGATACTGGCTACCACTTGAAAGGCGACATTGAGTTTTTCAATGGTAATTTTATGATGAGTGCAGAGTTCTTCATTTTCTTTTTGTAACCAAGTAATGTGTTCATTATGTTCAGTAACTTTAGAATCTGAGGTGTCCACTTCAGGTTCGTATACTGTATCAGTCTCTATGGCACCTTTTGCTTTATTAGCTTCGTTGAGTTCTGCGGCTTTCTTAGACGTGATCGTGAAAATATTAAAATGCTTTTCAACTTTGTCAAGACAGTACATTAAGAAGGCAAGATCATTGTGAAGTGTTGCAAGTGATGGCATCCAATTTATTTAAAATTCTTTGTGTATCCGTTAACTCATTTGTAAATATTTTAGTCAATCTGTATAGTACATCTTCATCGTCCATTTATTCTGACTACAACTTCTAAGCATGAATTGAATTATCGAGAGAGGTTTTATTCTTTTGTGTATTAGTATTATTAGAGAATGTTGGGGAGGTTTTCACTGGAGGTTTGATGTTCTTAGTCCTATTAGTGAAGAAGCGTAGATTGTTGGGGTCAAATATTGTATTCTAATCATGTACAAATGTGACTTTAGGACGTGATGCAAATGCAGAATAAATTTTAAATTACGCAGGCTTAAAGCACTGGTAAAGGTTTTGTGTTTGTCTATCTTTGGGGTTTGGTCATTTGCGTTTAAAGTTATATGAATTATGCCTAGAAATGGAACAATGTGCGCATAAGTTAGTGTCGGACGTAGTTCAGATGAGTTTTCTGTTATCAAATTCAATAGGGTCCCCATTTTTTACCGCTTCAAGATCCTCTTTATTCCAGAAGTGCATGAAAGCATATTGAAGATTTTTATAGTTTGATCTAGCTTTAGGAATCACCTATATAATGGCGTTGACTGTTTTGCCAATAAGCTTTAGTTCTCTACCTGTAGTGTTTTTAGGAAGATTTGTAAGTTTCAAAGCAAATTGAGAACGAGCTCTGATTTTTTTGGTTGTAAAGAACAAACGTATACTCTAATCATGTCTTTCAAAATGAATAGGTTAGCGTGAGAGTTAAAGAATGACAGATCTGTTTTGGGTGCATATGAAATGGTTGCTTGTTACCAAAGATTTTTCATTATCATAGAGCATTTCTAAAGTGGAAATAGGAATTTCAGTAACCTTGATCGACAGACTCAGGTCAAATTTGAATAGGGCAGGTGTAACAAAAGGTTTGAATATGACTGTTTCCATATTAGGAATTTTGGTAGCAATGGCATGATTTGCATTATCACGTGTTGTAAATTCTAATCAGATAATTTTCAACGTTTTATTTTCAGGGTCTTGTTTAACTGATGCATCAATGAACGATAAGTATGCTGTACCATTGAATAATTCGCAAGCTTTGTTGGTTTTTTCGCAAAAATATTTGTTAGGAAGAAAGGTTTTTACGACGCAGTAAACATAAAAGGTGATAGTATCTCTAATTCTTTCGAAAGTGATAGTATTTTTGTTAGCATCTTTATTATTTAGCATATTTTCAAATGCGTTGAAAGCCTGGTCTTCGTTTATAATGTTGTTATCACCAGGAACTATTATTTCACTATCCTTTAGTTTTTGGATAGGCAAAAGGCTGATAGTAGAGGTTTCTTGTATATTATTTTCTCTAGGAAACCAGGTAGTTTTGGTATATTTAAAGTTTTTAGCTTCTGCAAGAATTGCTTCTACTTATTGGTCAATACTCATATCACCAGCTGATAAGATATTGATGGTGATTATAACTTTTGAAGGTCCAGCTGGAGTTTCAGCTATTTGGTTGGATCTGCCAGTCATAATTTTCTTCTGTGAAAGTTCTTTTTTGTTTTTTGTTGATAATCTAGAATAGCTTCGCAAGTTACGGTTATTTTTTTGTGAAAAATTTTGATTTTTTTCTTTTCCTATTTTTTGTGATTTTGGAGAGAGAGGAAAAAGTTTTTTCAATATCATAGAATAGTTTCATATTTGGCAAATGTTAATCGAATTACGTGCTCAAAGGTTGATATGGGGATCTCTATTATCTTGATTGCTAATTCAGAATTAAATCTAAATAAGGTAAAGTGTTCAAGGGTTTTAATTTTAGATCTGCTATATCTGGAAATTTGGCAAGGAGTGCTTTATCAGCATCCAATCTCATGGAGAATCCAAATTAGACAATCTTAAGCATTTTGTTTGCAGGTCTTGCTTGACTGATGCACTAATGAAAGAGAAAAAGTCTACACCATTAAACATTTCACAAGCATGATTGATTTTATCTTTATTTGATTTACCAGAAAGGAAGGTTTCAGTGGCATAATAAATATAGAATGAAGAAGCATCGCAAATGCGTTCAAAAGAGAGGTTATTAGGGAAAGAACCATTTTTTCTGAGTAATTTTTTGAGGGGTCGTATGCTTGATCTTCTTTCATAACATTTGTGTTTTTAAAAGTGACAAGTTCTGTAATCTTTTCAGTTAAAGTTTTAAGTAGTAGGTCAACTTTCATAATTCCTTAAGAGCCAGAAGCGATATTTGAGTTGACAATATTTTCAGTTTCAGTTAAACCAGGATGATTAAGAATAGTAACAGTTTTCTTTTGGGGATGTTCTAAAGACTTATTGTTAACGGGTAAGTCAGGATGACTACGAGTGTTGCAAAGGTTTTTTGGGTTATTATTAAATTTTTTTATTGTGTCTTTTCCCATAGTGTTTTTGAGGGGAGTGGGAAAGAGTTTTTTTTTGTAAAACCGTAAATATATGTTTTAGTTCATAGGATTATTTCCATATGTGTGTGATTATTCTTTCTATCAACAATGTGTAAACCTTTATATGGTGCTGAAAGTCTTAACTCAACAATTGTTTCAATTTTTTTGGCGACGATCATTTATCATATGACATGAAATTGACCAATAAAAATGTATGATTTCATGTAACATGTACAACTAAAGGAGGTTAAATTTAGAATAATGCCACGCGACAAGTTTTTTTTTTATGTATTCAAATTAAGAAAATATTACTGTGAAGGAACTTTTGCAAATCTGAAGAGAATAATATAAAAGTTAAGTATTGTACTTGTTTCTTTATTATAATGTAAT